ATACATACATACAAAATACCATAAAACTATGTAAAGTATTTTTATGAATGTCTCTTTTTTTGGAGACTGGGACTTGCTCTGTTGTCTAGACTGGAGTGCAGTAGCCTGATCATATCTCACTGTAGCCTCAACCTCCTGGGCTCAAGCAATCCTCCTGCCTCAACCTCCCGAGTAGTTGGGATTATAGGCATGCAACACCACATCCAGCTAGTTTTTTAAAGATTTTGTAGAGACAGGGTCTCACTCTGTTACCCAGGCTAGTCTCAAACTCCTGTCCTCAAGCAATCATACCACCTCGGCCTCCCAAAGTGCTAAGATTACAGGTGTGAACCACCACACCTGGCCATGAAAGTCCTTAAACTTTAGAAGTTATACCAAACTTGTGTAGCCTTTTACAACTTGATTTTATTTAAATATTATGTTTCTAAAACTTATCCATTTTGCTATATATTGCTCTAGTTCACTGATTTTAACTGCCATATGGGATATTTTCATATACATATCAAAATTTATATATCAATTCTTCTGATTATGGAATTCAGATTGTTTCTTATTTTTATTTTGCTAATACGCAAAATGCTGAGATGAATATTTTTATAACTGTCTCCTTGTACTCATATGTGAATGTCTCTCTAGGCTATAGATTTAGAAATGGAATTGCTGAGATGAAAGACATGCCCATCTTCAACATTACTAGCATGATTACCAGTATGGTTTTGAGGATGTTTTTTACATTATCAATGCTCATCTTAGATTCCTCTTCTGTAAAATGCCTATTAATATCCCTTGCCATTTAAAAAATAATGTGTGTGTATGTGTGTTACTGTTTTTTGCTTAATCTTTGGGAATTCTGTTCACTCAAACTTAGTTCCTTACATGTGTTACAAATCTCTTCTCCTTGCATGTGGGCTTATTAACTTTGTTTGTAGTGTCTTTTTTATTTGTAAAAAAGTATTTACTACTAATGTAGTCTTATAATTTATCATTTGTGATTACTATCTTAAGAAATCTCCCTTTCTTCTCTTCCCAGACATCATAAGGATAACGTCTTAATTTTCTCTTCTGTAAATTTTAAAGTTTTACTTTTCAAGTCTTTAATCTACATGAAATTAATTTTTGTATGTAGTGTGGGATAAAGGGTGATTATATTTCTTTTTATCCCAGCATCATTTACTGAATGACATCCTTTCACTGCTGATTTCTATTGCCACCAAGGTCATAAATCTAGTGCATTTGTTTCGGATTCTCTATACTATTTCACCAGATAATATTTAGTGTGAAAGGGAGCCTATCAATAATCCACCAGGACAACAGGAATAAACTGGACTCTTTCCAGCAAACCATGACGTATGACCACCCTATCTACATGCCTACACCTGCACCAATACCACATTGTCTTAATTTTTTTTTTTTTTTTAGACAGAGTCTCACTCTTTTGCCCAGGCTAGAGTGTCGTGGCATCATCCCCAGCAACCTCAAACCCCTGGGCTCAAGCGATCCTTCTGCCTCAGCCTCCTGAGTAGCTGGGACTACAGGCATGCGCCACCATGCCCCTAATTTTTTCTATATATTTTTAGTTGTCCGATTAATTTCTTTCTATTTTTAGTAGAGACAGGGTCTCGCTCTTGCTCAGGCTGGTTTCGAACTCCTGAGCTCAAACGATCCACCCGCCTCGGCCTCCCAGAGTGCTAGGATTACAGGCGTCAGCCACCGCCTCCGGCCCACATTGTCTTAATTTTAAGACAATGAGCTTCACATCAGTAGAGCATAGTCTTAAATAGCCATGGTTATTCTAGAACAATGGTGGGATTAGCTTAATATGTTCCATAAAACATATTGAGATTTTGATGGGAATCACAATGATTTTATATATTAATCTGAAGAGAACTGACATTTTGATAATATGATTCTTCCTATCTGTGTATAAACTATAACTTATGTATAAGTCTTCTTTTATGTTCTTCAGAAATATTAAATTATTTTCCACAGAAAGCTTACACATCTTTTATTATCTATAGTCTTAGGTACCTTACAGTTTTGTTGCTATTATAAATACGATTGTCTTAGAAGAAGCATTCTCATTGTACTCTCAGTTTTAATGGAAATGCCTCTAATGTCAAACCATTAACATTAATATTTGGTTTAGACTTTTAGAAGAAACTCAATAGTAGGTTAAGAGTATTACCTTCTGCTCTCAAATTGCTGAAAGTGTCAGGAATGGGTATTCCATTTTATTGTCATTTTTAGTATAAAAAATTTTAAATGATTTTTCTCCATTAATCTATTAATACAGTATATTATACTACTAATCCGATGTTGAAATTCCCTTGAATTCTGGGTTGAAACCTACATAGTCATACTTTTTCCTAATCTGCCATGTATCATTGACTCTAAAACTCCATTGATTATAAAGATGCACCATTATATCATGTGCCACTAAAACAGAGAACACATCGATAACTATAATTTTAGAAGGTATTTATTTTTAAATGGATCCTGATTTTGGAAATATTACGCTGGAAAAAATTATCTTAGTATTGATATAATACATACACTGTTGAATTTTATTGTTTTAAATTTAGGACTTTTTCTTTTTTGTATAGTCACTGGTATTCGACATATCATTCTTTTCTTGCACTATCCTTGTCAAGTTTTGTTGTCAAGGTTTTACTAACCTTATAAAGTAAGATAAATGGCTTTTCTAATTTTCTAATTTTCTGAAGCAATGTATATTGGATACAATTATTGCTTCCTTGAAAGTAAAACAGAACTCATCTATAAAACCATATGGAGTACTAGAATGTTTATAGCAGCTATATTCATAATAGCTGAAAACTGGAAAAAATTCAAATGACAACTGGGTGAGTAGATAAACTTTCATAAATGTATACAATGGAACACCACTCAGCAATGAGGAGAGATCTATTGAGATATATACATATAACTGGATGAATCTCAAAAACATTATGTTGATCAAAAGATGCCAGACGCAAAAGAATACATACTGCACGACTCCACTTATAAGTTTTAGAGTAGGGAAACTAAGCTATGGTGTTAGAAACCAGAACAATCAGAGAAATAGAAGAAATCAGAGAACTGAAGATGTTAACCAAAAAGGGGCACAAGGTCTTTCTTGGGGGATGAAAATTCTTGTTTGGGATGGTGGTTACACAGGCTTATACAATATCAAAACTCACCACTGCACATTTAGCACTTGTGCATTTTATATATTTACTTCAATTTTAAAAATACATGGGGGAAAAAGGTAAGATCTAAAAAACATATTACAGTCTTGTAGAGGACAACTTTTCATTACAGATTCTGTTTCTTTAAATGTTCTTATTTTACTCAGTTAATTTCTATTCCTTCTAGAGTAAATTATAGTGATTTATATTTTTTCTAATAAAATATACATTCCATCCACATTTTCATATTTATTGGAATACGGTTGTTCATAGTATTGTTATTATTTTTAAAATATATATTTGTAATTCTATTCCTGATATCATTTTTCTGTATCTTTTCTCTTTTGTTCTTTATAAAAATAACACCTAATCTTTATTTAGTATTCTGTTTTTCATGTAGTGTTCTAAGTTCTTAAAGTGTATTACTTATTTAACATTCACAATACTATCGCTCTAAGGTAGGTACAATTACTTTTCCCTATTTATAGATCAGGAAGGCTAAGCTAAACAGAGTTAATGCTTATGGACACACGGTAATTGGAGGATTCAAGCCCAGGCAGTCTGGCTCCAGATTCCATATTCTTTGCTATCATCAACCTTTTGCTAAATACTTGTGGATTTTAGTGATTATTTCAAAATAATAATTTCTGCTTTACTGATCCTCTCCTCATTTCTGTACTTTATTTCATCAATTTTATCTTCTTTTCATCCTTTTCTTTCTCTGTAATTCAGCTTTACTTTGTTACTTTATTCCAGCTTCCCAAGATAGAGGCTTAACTCAGTTTTTTAAAATCTTTCCTTTTTTTAGTATTTTCATTTAAGGTTAGATATTTTCTTTTATAGCAACAATTGCTGTAGCTGTATCCCACAAGTTCTGATACGTAGTACTTTTATTTTCTCTTCATTCCAAAATTTTTTATTTATTTATTTATTATTCCAGGGTTTTGTGAGGGTACAAACATTATAGTTACACTTTATGTCTTTGCCTCACCCAAATGTGGGTTAAAGGCATGCCCTTCCCTCCCCTTTAGTGCTCCTCGTGTCCTTTAGTCGTAGATTTGCCCCCCATCCCCCTAATCCCTAGAGAGTATTTCTGCCATGTGATCAACCTAGCGTTGATTAGTTAGTACCAATTTGATGGTGAGTACAAATGGATCCCGTTCTTCTGCTCTTTTGGTGCCCCACTTTGCATTCCAAAATTTTTAAGTTTCTATTGTAATCTTTCCTCTAACCCGTGAGTTACAAAGCGTGTATTTTAAAGTTTTAAAACAAATAGATTACTTTTTAGCTGCTGTATTAACACCATATTTCTTCTCTCCTCAATTCCACTGCATCCTTTCCTTGCCTCCTTCAAAAGGGAGGAGGCTACTAGGATAATTTTCAGTAGAAAATAATATTATAGTAATACCCCCTTAGAGTGTTTACCTTTATAATACCATAACATCCTTGGGTTTCCACAATAAAGTGACAAGGAAACGGTCTGCATTTCTGCAGATAGTCAATTAACATTTTAATATACACCTTTGGAAATCTTTTCATCTTTATAAAAGCACTTTTTTTCTACAAAAAGTTCTAAGTTACCATAATCACAATGATAAAACACATTGTTTTAAAATCTAAACTTAAAAAGATTATGGGGAATCTTCCAGTTTTCAGTCTAGCACATACGGAGCTCAGAAGTCACCATATGTCCTATCTTAACAAGTAAAAACTGGAAAAAAAAAAAAAAACTGAAAAATCAACAGCAGTTCTTCTTACATACATAAGTGAAGTAAGGTCATGGGGCAAACTGCTGTACGCCAAATTAGAGAGACAGACAAGCACATATAGAGAATCGCAACAAAAAAGCACTTTGGTTTCTCATTCTATAATTCATTCTTGAGACCACAATACCATCTTAAAAATTACATTGTGCTTTACAATTTTAAAAACATTTCCATGTCTTTATTTCTAATAAAATTTGTGACTATCAGAAACCAACGGAGAAAAGTACATGAATAGGCAAGAGCCAAATTGAGATTTGATAAAATATGAACTTTTTAATCATAATACTCTTCCTTTAATAATGTCCTAGAACTTCATTACTAATTAAATGAATCAGCACAACACACTCACATCTTAAAAAAAACCAACACTGAAAGAGAAACATCCTCTCCTTCCCACACTTCACGTTCTTCTCAGTGATCACTCTCATCATCCAGAATTTAAAACAGTCACTGCTGTCTTAGAGCAGCGGTTCTCAAAGTGTGGTGACTAGACCAGCAGCACCACCACCACTACCCACCATCACCTGGGAACTTGCTAAAGATGCCAATTTCCCATCCCCATTCAATCTACTGAATCAGAAATTCTGAAGTTGACCCAACAATCTGTTTTAATATGCCCTCCATATGGCTCTGATGCATGCTAAAATTTGCAAATTATTGTCTTAGAAAATGGTTTGGTTCTTTCTAACACAGCAGTGTTAGAAACACAGCAGTGTTACCTCCTTCTCCTCAGCATCTTTCTCTTTTGTTCATTTGGCACGAAACAAAGATTTTTCTCATTTGAATGATTAAATCACCAATAATTTTGTGATGGCTTCCTACTTTCTCTCCTTTTAAAATGTGAGGTTGCCTTTTAAACCATCCGACGTGTTTTTAAATTTTTTATTAAACGTAAATTATAGTTTACAATGAAAGAAATTATTCCATGAACATCAAATTATCACCTTCCTATAAAAATGTCTCTTCTTACATTTATACAATCCTTGAAAGTATTTTCTTGAGAAACATAAAATACACAGTATGGGTCTTACTTAGCAAATAAACCTAGGATTTATGGCTTAGAATTCCAGCTAATATCAATATATAAGACTCAATTATAAGGAAATTGGCCAATACATACTCCTTGTGAGATAGAAATCATTTGTAAACTTAAATAAGAGTGTTTTTTTAGAAATGTTCTGTAGAAACACTGACTGAAAGTGGGAACTTTTAGATATACATGTACATATAGGTATAAGCACATCAGTTCTGTAATACTGACAAATAATGACAATAGCAACAAAGCAAAACAACCAAAATCATCTCAAAATAATTTTGGTTGATGAGAAATGTATCTAAGACCATAATTAATAAATTTAGAAAAAACAGACTTCTGTTCCTAGATATCACATAGTAACTCACAGTCTGCCGCAAGGAAGGACTACTGTCTTACTCACCTGTGTACATAATGTAGTTGATGAACTGAGTCAATTGCTATCACCATCTCAGCCAAGTAAAATCGAGCCATATCTTCAGGCAATCTATCTTCAAATTTGCTGAGGAGAGTAAGCAAATCCCCACCAACATAATAATCCATAACTAGGTACTGTGAAAGAAAAAATAAAATGTACTCAATAAATGATAAGAGTGAAAAATTAATATAATGTGTCCTAAGGTCAAAGAGGACTGGGTCAAATATTTCTGTGGTTAATTACTTAGGCAGTTAATTAACAAGAAGCTGTGTATGATGATTATCAGAAATCATTATAAGACATCTAAATTTCATACAGCAGCAAAATAAAATTTTTAAAAATTGGGGAAAAGAACACAGGATTATCATTTTTTGTTGTATTTTGCAAAGTACAAATATCATCATCATCATCATCTTCTTCACCTACAACAATGGTCCACAGCTTTACCAACATGGTCTATCTTCCACCTTCAGCCATATACCACTATGCATTTCCTCTTAATAAACCCAAAACCCCATGGATCCCTTCCCTTCCAACCTTTCAATGTGTCTTATTGAAACTCTTAAACAAACTTCCGTCAGACAGAACTAAAATGATGAATAAAGGAACTATTCCAGTTTTCCTTGCCTGCTAAACTGGGTTCTGGCTTTGCTTACTCATATCCTTTCCCTACCATGTCCTCAGAAGTAAATAAGCCATTACTAAGACAGAATTCACAGCAAGTGCAGGAAAGGAGCAGTAAAACAAAATTCTCAAGAGAAAAACAGTAAGGTGAAAATGAACTATACTCTCAATGAGGTTCTGGTGTTAGGGAGACAATATATATCAGTAGAAGCACACAAATAATAACCTCACACAGGAACAAAACTCCTTTTCCTTTATAACATATCCCCGTGAATGTCACCAAGATCTGGAAGTCATTCTTTTATGCTTTCTCTTTGATTTACCACAAAATTCAATTCAATCATCCAAATCTTGCTGAGTCTATTTCCTAGCAAATCTCTGTGGAATTCATCTACTTCTACCTCTATCCAATATCACAATTCTCTCCTAACCCAGCCCCTGGCCTCTCTTGACTACATTACTGCTATAGGTATAAGGGCAAAGTAGACAGCTTTCCATAATGTTTTATTATGTGAACAATTTTCTTGGGAATGGAAAACAGCATACAGAAACAAATAAGTTCATTAACTAATTCCACAGATATTTATAAAAGTAACCTACTATGTGCTGACATTACACTTACACAACAGGGATACAAGAATGAATAAGACATGGTTCCTGCCTTCAGGGAATTTTATGTATCAATGTTCATATAATTAAGCAGCTTTGTATTTAATGAGTTTTTCTTTTTTATTATTGAGATAGGATCTCGCTCTGTCGCCCAGGCTGGAGTGTAGTGGCATCATCATAGCTCACCACAACCTCAAACTCCTGGGCTCAAGCAATCTTCCTACCTCAGCCTCCCAAACAGCTGGGACTATAGGCACGCACCACCATGCCCGGATAATTTTTCTATTTTGTGTAGAGATGGCGTCTTGCTCTTGCTCAGGCTGGTCTCAAACTCCTGACATCCCACCTCAGCCTCCCAAAGTGTAAGGAAAAAATGTTCTAATCCCATCTTAGTATCATTCACTAAATTATGTACCTTTTCGTGAAACATATAAAATGCACACTTGCTATAACTCTGTACATTTGCTCATAAATTAGCTGTAGTAGTAGGTAGGTTAGAAATGAAAATCAAATTATTTACCACAGCATTCTTAAATTGTATAGCACTGTAAATCATGTGGCTTCTTTGGCTATTTAAAAGCTACCAAAGTTAAAAGTTACTTTGGAAAATAACTATGTATAATAAAATTTCCTTTTTTAGTATCTAAAGCTAGGTTTGCCAACATTTTTTGATGGTATTATTTTATAAATGTTCAAAAGAAAATCTTCAATGATAACTAAGATTTCTGACTCCTTGAGATTAACATATGATGAAAGTTCCCCTAAACTAAAGAAAAACTGGCAGATTACAGGAGACTTTACTACTAGAGTGTTTCGGTCCTCCTCCACTTATTGTGAAACTTTCATTATAATATAATTAGTGACTGGTATACGCAGGCTATTTCTGAGAAATGTCTCTGAAAAAGAAATGTTAATCTTAACGTCAAATGCAAAGAGTGCAAATAAAACTAAATAACTTAGATGAGATAGAAAGGTACATCACAGTTCAGGCTTTTTTCTCATCAAAGTTTTGGCAAAATTATGTTATATAAAATTTGGCATTTGGATACTTTCTGTATCTACAAATTTCTATATTTACTCCAACGTTTATAACAAAATGTGGATTTTTAAGCAATGCATAAATCTACAGTGTTACATCTATCTACAATAGAATATGTTGTCACAGTGGATTTTAGTCCTCATTTGAATATATATGAAAATTATCATGATAAGCTGCTATAAGTTTGATAAGCAAAATACTTGGCATATGTTTTAATTTACTCTTCCAAATTTTGCTAACAAACCTATGCAGATTAAATATACATGATACATTTATCCCTAAAATTTCTCGTGAGTAAATCCAATTCAAACAGCATTCTGTTTAGTTTAATGCCCAAACAACTAACACGTGCAAAGCTCCATGGTATGGCTTTTAAAAAATTCTCACAAAAACTCACAATAATATAATACGTATGGTTTATATGATGATTCAGTAAATTATAAAAGAAAGAAGTATCATAAAACAATATTTACTCTTACTACTTGCCATGAACTCGGTCATTCTGTACTCTATTTAATCTTTAAAGATTATGCTTATAAGCCATCAAATTGATTTTATAACTCACTAATGGGGCAGAACCTCCAGTTTGAAAACCTCCCTTTTTATATTCTATAAGCATTTAAGCAATATAAAAACAAGTAATGTAATGACATTGTTTGAATATACCTAGATGTGGCCTGAAATCAGATAAACCCCCAAACTATTAAAAAGTTATAATTTTATTTTAGCTAAAGATAGTAGGGTTCATGCCATTTATTTAAATTTTTTTTAAGTATGCCAAAAATTCGGAGATATATATGTATATGTGTTAGTCATGTAACAGCAGCACAAAAAACAACAGCTTAGCAAAAAAATGCAAAGCTAGAATGAGATGAGGAAGATTAATTCCAAGAGGAAATTTTGCAAATAACTATTTTAAGATGTAGAAATTGAACACAGGAGCAGTGGAAGAGAAATGGGACTGGTATTAAATGTATCATGGGCACTAAAAATAAAAGCAACAGTAGATGCGTATAGAGTATATTTAAGAATGAAGGGTATTCCACTGAGACTGAAATGTAGGATTTGTGGGTGAGAACAGTATTTCCAATCTTTTTTTTTTTTTTTAACCAAATACGCTATTTAACACTATTGACCAGTTCCTCCACCAACTCTCTTTTGTTTTCATGGTGCACTATCCTGACTGTCTTTACTCTGACCATTTCCATTAGTATTCTTCTGGGATTCCTCTATCTCTGTCTTCTCTAGGCACATTTGTTTTCACCTTTTATAAGCATTACTCAGTTATTCCCGCTTACTCCTTGTTATCTACAGCAGGAGTTGGCAAACTTTTTCTGTAAAGGGCCAGACAGTAAACACCTTAGGCTTGGTAGGCCAAGAGGCAAAATCAAAGATACTATGTAGGTACTTACATAGTAAGAAAAAAACAAATTTCTATACATTTCTCTGGTTTTATAATCAACCAATGTCCTCAACTTGTTGAGCAACTGTTCTCACCAAAAGGCTAATACATTTTCTCAGACAAGTTTATTTTTCTTGGGTACACTTCTTTGGCCACTGCACTCAAACATGATTTAATTAACTCAACACTGGTAATTGGCTTTCCTTGCTTGGCTAACAAATGAGCTACTCAGAAACTTAACTACAGATACAGACTCATTTTCATTTTTTTCTTCTGAAGAAAGTCTGCTGTGATAGACATTCTTTTTTAAATTTTCTGATTTTTCTGACTGCTGCTTTCCTGTGAGTTGGGAATGTGGTAGTGAGTGCTTAGTCTGGCAATGTAGACATATAGCATATTCTATTAATTCATTTGTACTATGGTTGCATGAAAAACACAATGCTCTGCCATTTAATTCTTTAACATAATAATCCACACTCTACTATGCCTTAAAACCATGATATGTGAAGACAATTTTTCTCTTCTTTCCTTATTTTGACATGATGGGCATGCACTATTAATAAAAATAATAATAAAATGTCACAGTATAGCAATGTCAAAACACTATCAAGTTATAATTGTGTCACTGCAATTTGTAGTGTACTAATCACAAAGTGATGCGAGTAATACATAATGTTACCCTCTGGCATAGTTCCAGCCTCTGTCACAGCTAGTCAGTTCTGTCACTGTACCATAAAAGCAGCCATAGACAATATATCAATCAATAAGTATAACTATGTTCTAATAAAACTTTATAGAGACTGAAATTTGAATTTTATATGTCATACATCACAAAATATTATTATTTTTTTCAACTATATAAAAATGCAAAAACCGTTCTCAGTTTGTAAGCTGTAAAAACCAAGTAGTAGGCCAGATTTGAGCTGCCGGCCATAATTTGCCAAAACCTGATCTATAAAATAAGTACTCCAAGATACATAATGCTGTTTGTACGCCAGAAGTACCAGACTTATATATCCAGCCACATGACAATTCAAACCCAATATTTACCAAATTAATCATCTTCCCCTTCTACTCTAAATTTTCTCTCCCTCCTTATATTCCCCAGCTCAATTCATCAACAACTACCACTAACTGAATCCCGCAAGTCAGACACAGGAAAAAAGGGACTCATTGTGACTCCTCTCTCTTCCACTGACATCCACTCAAACACACAAAGTTCTAATTATTTCACCTCCTAAATAGTACCTGAAACCATCCCCTCCTCTTCATTCCTGCTTGGATATTATTGCCTTTATTCTAGCCCTCATCCTCTGTCATGTGAATATTGTCAAAGTCTACCAGTCTCCTTGCCTCTAGTTTTGCCCCTGAAATCCACAAGCCACACTGCTACCAGCATATTCTATGCAAAATGTAAAACTGATTAATTCACTCTCCATAAAACCTTCCTTAAAATAAGAATCAAGTCCAACTCCTTAGCATGATCTGCACTCTAAAAGCCTCATTTTATTTCTCTCTCTCCTTGGTTACTATACTCTAATCACACTAGCCTTTCCTCAAACAACCCTTGTCCTTTCTAGCCACAAACTCTTCTATGGTTCTAAAACAGCAGTTTTCAAATTTGCTCTGTGAGGAACCCTTGAGTAACCATGTAAGAAGGTAGAAGGAGGAAGGCAGGAGATCAATCAGGGAAGTTCCATACCCTATATGCTTTACTGTCTAGGCTCTCAGATACAATGTTATTTAAAAACACATTCAAGTACCATAACCAAAATTAAAAAGAAAAAAACCTGAAAAAAATGGTTGTTAAAGTCTAATTTGCTCAGCAGAACATATAAGAGGGTATTAGCTATATGATGTGACTCTCTCATCCTTGCTCCCTAAACCTCTTATCCTGTGCTCCACCAATATGAATGTAACAAGCTGCTTCAAATCTCTGCTTCTGCTCACCAAGCCCTCTCTGCATCTTCTCCCTTCAGTTTAGCTAATTCATGTTTGTCTGTCTTACAGGAGTCTTCATTGACTTCATACCTCTGAATTAAAGTAATATTTTTCTCATCTGAAATAACATGAAAATATTATTTACTTGATTTTAGATTTATTGCCTGGCTCCCCTCATGAGAACGTAAGAAAAAGAGAGATCCTTTGTTTGTCTTACTCACTACTACATCTCTGGAATCTAAAAAACAGTGCCTATCACGCAGTGCACATCCAGTATTTATCAAATGAATGAATTTTTATTTATTAATTTTTATATCCCAGTTTTTAATGTAGTGTCTGGCACAAAGCAGGATCTCAACACATGTATGCTAAAAAATAAACCTGGAAATAAAAAAAATGAAGAGCCCTGAATAGCAAGCCAAGGAGTTGTTAACTTTTATTTTCCTATACGTTTGTTTATCTCTTCATGCATCTATATTTTCACTTTCCTCCAAGTTCCTTCCCAGCTTCTGTTAAGTGATTCATGATGCCAATATGTAATGAGATGTAGGCCAGGTTTCCAGTGTGGCTCTACTTAACACAGCACTTTGAAAAATACGTGAAATTCTAAAAAGCAATAGAATACTACTAATAGTATTGGGAAAATCATGAAAAGAACAAATGTTGAGCACCTCCTACAGAATTTAACTAATAGGAATTAAATTTGTTTGGTTTAGTTTTGACTTCCTTATTAAAAAGCATAAAAAAAATTCCAATGGAAAGGTATCAAATTAACTGGGGGGGGTGGGAATTGTGTATCAAGTGAACAACTTATACTCTGAAATGCAGTGATTTTCTATTAATATATTAAATCTACCTTTAAACAATGCTTAAACAAAAATAATGCTAATTCTTCCAACAAAAAATTAATAAGGATACAGAAACACATAAAATGATTCTTACTAAGTTATTGTCATCCTGGAAAGCATAGTGCAAAGTTGTAATCCATTTATTGTCTCCATTCACTAATACATCCCTTTCTTCACGAAAACATGCTGTCTGAAAAGGAAAAAACAAATTTTAGAGAACACCTTATTATGTAAAACTAGTAAATATTATGCAATTGCTCGATATTTTTACTATATTAATTCTGTTCTAGAAAACGAATACATCCAATATTATATGACTTTTCCACAAGTTTCAAAGTACCCTCACAAACTGGGCTACTGAAATAGTACATTTTAAAAAATATTTTATATTTTAAAATACCATTATATTAATAGTTCAAAACAATCAGAAAAATGCACAGAATAATTTAGGCAACAATCATGAATCAACCTACCATCCAGATAATATAAATGTCAATATTTTGCCATATTTAATTTTGATCTTTTTATCTTTAAGGAAATGAGATACAAATTGTAGCCTTCCTGGTCCTTTCCCTTTTGCCCCTGATGTAATAAATAATCTGCAGTGTGTACTCTACCAATCATATGCTTTGACCACACATGTGTATGTCCAAAAACAATAGAACTATTTTGTGTTTTGAAAACTTACATGAATGGTATAGTATCTATCTTTTTGCAACTTGATTACTTTTTACTCAACAATGACTGTTTTCCATTTATCTGCTATGGCATTTGTTCCATTGTTTGAATGTACCAGAATTTATTTAGGCAAGCCCCCAATCGTGAAAGTATAGGTTATTTCCAATTTTGTTATTACAATATTGCAATAAATATATTTGTATAAATATACAAGAGTTTCTCTACTGTAAACACTCAGAAGTAGAAATGCTAGATATAAGGAAATTTCAACTTTACCGGAGATAACTAATTTTCTTTCCTAAGTTCTGTACTAACTATCCCCACACACAGCCCAGTGTATGAAAACTCTGCTTTCTCCACATCCTCAACTGCACATGGCATTATTAGACTTATAAGTGGTTGCCTATATGATAGGTGTGAAATAATATCTATTTGTTCTTTTAATTAACATATTTCTAATTACAGTTCCAGATGAATAGCTTTATATACACTTATTGAACATGTGAACTTTGTATTGCTCATTTCCTTTGTTCATTTTCTCTAATGGATTGTTTTTTTCAAATTGATTTTTTGAAGTTTTAATTTATTCAGAGAATACATTTCCACTATTATAAAAGTATATCCTGGAGAATCTTAGAAATGTATGATTAAAAGTAATTATATATAATACATTATAATTCTATATTATCCCTAATTTTTTAATTAAAGACAAAACAAAATGAAAAATAACACCACTATGCCAGAAACTTCAGAGAGAACTGAAATGTAAAGTAGAAAGTAAGTATCCCTGAGTCATGCCCCTTCAATTTCATTGTTCAATTATTATGTCCAGGCTACCACCATTAACTTTTTGTTTAGTATCCTCTCAGAAAATTTCTATGTATATATAAGCATACACACACATATTATATATTTATGTGGTGTCCCACCTCTATCTTTTTTTTCTTTACACGATGAGATCATAATGTTCTGTAAGTTATGTTTTTTTCAAGTAAAAATTTCCATATCAGTACATAGAAATCTACCTAATTTTTTCTTAATGGCTATACCATACTCCATACATACTAAAAATATCATCACACAGTATGCTATATGACAGCAGGTGTTTTGTGTGTGTGTGTGCGTGTGTGTGTGTGTGCGTGTGTGTGTGTGTGTGTGAGAGACAGGGTCTCACTCTGTTGTCTGGGCTAGAGTGCAGCAGTATCATAGCTTACCATGACCTCAAACTCCTAGGCTCAAGCAAATCCCCCTGCCTCTGCCTCCTGATTAACTGAAACACAAGTGTGCATCACCACACTCGGCTAATTTTTTAAATTACTCTTTTGTAGAGACAAGGTCTCACTATGCTGCTCAAGCTGGTCTTGACCTGCTGGGTTCAAGTGATCCCCCCACCTCAGCCTCCCAAAGTGTTAGGATTACAGGTGTTAGCCACTGTGCCTAGCCAATTATGCACAAGGTAAATTCAATAGCCGTGATCCACAAAATAACTAACATTGTTATACAACCAGCCCTAACATTTTCCATGTATGTATATCCATAAATCTCATTTGACCGAATAGAATTTCCAAAGCCATGCATTATGTAATAGCAACACATTAAACATCAAAACAAATGGAGCTTAAACCAAATGAATGGGCAGTTTTACCTTCAATCAGATTATTAAAATCTACAACATTATACTTTGGTTCACTTTAGGGGAAAAACAGAATCACCTGACATACTATACTGACTCCTGTTTTACACTTTAACTCACACTTGAGGTTATGGTTTACTGCTAACATTTGAGAGAGCTTATGAAAGCTTTCAGAGTCTATGAGACCTCTCCCGGCTATATCTTACTATCACAGCTACCTGAAATTTTATAGACATTCCAGCTAGACCTTGATAAACAGCCATGATTTCATTTGACTGATGACTCCAAACTAAATAAGGCTCCAATGACTTTAGTCAACACAACAGATTAAACTTTGGGTTCCAATCCATGCTATACTATTTAGTAACAGAATCAATTTTTAAAAATAAAAAAAACAAACTGCTTATGATATAAAATTTCAAACATGCACAAGAGTAGAGAGATTAGTATAACAACTCCCTCCCCTTAATGTATCCATCACTCAACTTCAACAAATACTTTATTGGTCAGTCTTATTTCATCTATACTCGCTTACTACCACCCTTCAGCTCATGTACATACATGCATGCATACCACACGTATTTTTTAAGCAAATCCCAAACATTGTATGATTTTAGCCACAAATATTTAGCTATTAAACTATTTCTATTAATGCCTCAGACATTGAGTCTAGATGTAAAGCATAGTCTACTTTTTTCACTCCAATATGTCACATTGTCCTTAGCTGCTTATCACAATTGGTTGGGAGTCCTACTGGCATTTAGTAGGTAGAGGCCAGGATTGCATGACTAGTTCTGATGTACTAGTTTCTCTCTTCTTTTGAAACTTCTCTTTGACAAACACATGTAATTAGATTTGGTGAAATAATTAAATGTATTGATAGTTTGAATTCATCTTACTAAGAATTCACACTATAGAGAAACTCACAAAAGTACTCTAATATATATGAATAAAGCTTTTTACAACATGGTTCAACATAGTAAAAATAAGGAAACAACCTGAATGCCCATCAATGTTTTTTAAAAAATAAACCTGACAAAAAATATATCCACTCAGTATAATGAATCTATTTAAAAAGAATGAGATAAGTATATAAATATGTAAATGAAAAATCGCAATAGATATTATTTAGTAAAAAAGCAACGTAAAAAATCAACTTTTTAGTGATTTCATTACAGCAATATTTTCTGTTAAGGATAAATAAGAAACTCTTACCAATGATTTAGTTTAGATAGAAAGACTGGGTATTAAATTTAAAAAATTAAAAAAAAAAAGACTAGGTATTTGGGGGAGAAAAGGAAACTTTATTTTTTCATTTTTTTTTTTTTAATGTAGGTGGCAAGTCGGGAACTAGAAGCAGTTCAAATCTAATGACATCAATCCATTACTACTACTACTACTACTACTACTACTCCGTCTACTAATACTAGCAACATCACTTACAAAAATAACAGAACAAAAACAACAATAACAGCAAAAATAATAAGACAATAGGCCTAAACCACTACTATCACAGATTAACTAAGATACATTGTTACTTTACTTACGAGACAATTATCTTCATTTTATAAATGAGAAAATTGAGCCTTAGAATGGTTTAACTTTCAAGATAGAGCATTTCTATAAACTCTACTGCATTATCCCATGAAATGAGTAAGGACATCTATATGAGTGAAGTCAGTATGAGTTGAACAGAATAAATCGAGAGAAATTAATTTAAGGGATTGTTGAGGTACTAGCAAAGTTTGTAAATGATAAATCTGTAGAGATGTAAATCTATGTAAACTGTGAGATTATGTAACAATTACTAGGCTTAGAAAGAGAAGAGGCATCCTGGTACCTTCAAGTAATCCATATCCCATACATATTTGCCATATGCCTTGAAACAAAAATAAATATGGCAAAGAGGTTGGGGGTAAATCTCTGAAAAATTGTTTTAAAGCATCAACAATATACAAATAAAAAAATAAGAAATTTTGCTGCTCATCTGTAGTTTATTAAGCATCATTGCTAGGCCCAGTTTCCCAAAGTTGGATAAGTCATTGTCAGAAGGGGATTTTTCAATGTTTTTATATTTTTTAAGAAAAGATTTGATTATTCAAGCACAGAAATACAATGCCATGCCATTTTGAAATGAATTCCTCTTTAAGAGTTTCAATGCACAGTTTCTACCCAAAACATGAAAGTTTTCTAAAATAGTCTAAGGAGAGTACCTTTCAAATATTGAGCCAGTCTTACATCTCAAAATAAACCCAACTTGGTCATGTTGTATAATTCTTTTTACATATTGTTGAATTGTATTTGCTAATATTTTGTTAAGGATATTTACATCTATATTCATAAGGGATAATTAACTTTCTTTGTATGATCCTTGTCTGGTTTTTGCATCAGCGTTAATACTGACCTTCAAAAGGGGTGTTGTACCCTAGGGTCCTGTGGTCCCTAGCTGGTCTACCTTCTTCTCTCTACATATTCTTATGTTTGTTTTATATATAATGACCACAGTCTTTAGCTGTACATCATGAGAGAACAAAGAGAAGTGCGTCTATTCCATCTTATCCCAGAAACAGAACATATTAACACTTTTTGATTCAACAAAATACAATTTAATTTTAAATTATTCCTTCTTTTGTCTTCAATTTTTCCACTTCTTCCAGAGAGGAATAAAAGCACCTAACCCAAGTTATTCTTCCTTTTCACAATTCCTCCTCAACATATTCAACTTCTTTAAAAAAAGTAGAAACTTTTACACAATTTGTTAAAAGTTCTAACTCTGAAACACTAAACTGACTACAATTATTATTTCTGCTCAATAGTTAGAACAGAATTATTTACTGTTTTGTAATGATAGGATTTGTTGCTCCAGCTGCTGAGAATGCCATCAGCCCCTTCAGGGTTTGCCTCAGCTGAAGAAAGCCTCCCAGTCCAAGGTCATGTCCTTTGGAGGCAACCCACATCCAGTGACTGATGGAGGCAGGTGCACAAAGGTCCAGCCATTTTAACCCAAGGTAGGACAACTCCAAAGGCCCATTTCTGCTCCACAGCTCCCTGTGCAATCAACTGAGACTGCTAGGACACCTTGACTTCTCCCTGACCAATCCTATATTTCTCCATTCCCTTCTATAGGTGTCAATCACAAAAGAATTCCCTAATAAATATTCTGCACACTAAATTCAATCTCAGTGTTCACTCCCTGGAAAATCCAACCAGTAGCTGGGACTATAGGCGCACACCACCACATCTGGCTAATTTTTCTATTTTTTGTAGAGACCGGGTCTTTCTCTTGCTCAGGCTGGTCTCGAACTCCTGGTCTCAAGTGATCTTCCCACTCCGGCCTCCCAAAGTGCTAGGATTACAGGCATGAACCACCATGCCCAGCCTCAGACACTTTTTAAAACAGGATATTACAACATAGTATTACCTCTGGGAGGAAGATAGGGGCTGGACTTGGGTGGGAGGTGATCAAAGAGTACTTTAGCTTTATCTATAATGTGCTATTATTTGTTTTACAAAAAATAGATTTGTGTTTCACCAGTGAGTTTTTTAGGAGATGCATGGGGGAAAAAAACTAGGCCAGGTACAGTGGCTCATGCCTGTATTCCCAGCACTTTGGGAGGCCAAGGTGGGAGAATCACTTGAGGCCAGGAGTACCAGGCTGCAGTGAGCTATGATCATGCCACCGCATTCCAGTCTGGGTGACAGAGTGAGATTCTGTCTCAAGAAAAAAATAAAATAAAAATAAAAAACTGAAAGCAAAAACTTGGCCAAAATGTTATTAATTCTGGGTGATGGAACATAAGTTATTATTAATTTCCTTTTTGTCTTTGGTTATATTTTTTAAATTTCCCAAAAGAAAGAAAGAATGAAGAATAACTTTCTCTACAACCACACCTATACCACCATGGAATCCCTTTTGCTTTTCCCTTTATATTTGTTCCTCTTTGGGTTGCTACAAGTACTGACAGATAAAGATTTCTAAGCGCTAATTTCTCATTATCCTCCTACAGATCTTACCAAACTCTTTACTCAGCGTACTCATCAGTATGACCTTTTTACCAATTAAAATACTGAAATACTTCTACACCAGGAGGTTCTACTTCCCGGGTGGCCTATCACTATGATACAGCACAGCAGGGGACCTCCAGAACTCCACCACAAATCTATTGTGATGTCAGTTCTGACCATACCATATCAGCTGCTAGGTATTTTTAATGTCTCTCCAGCCAATCCTTCCCTCAAATCTAGCACCAACCTAAAAACGCTAACAATTATTCACTACTAGATTTTATTACAACTCCCATAATATAAAACAAAATATGAAGCAACTGCATAATCAGCAATAAACAGAATTCTGAGAGGGCATATTCAAAACTCCTGCTGACTTTTGCTTGGAGTAGAATCCAGATAAATACAGAATAACACAAATTATGTCATATTGAAAATCAACCATTACAAAATTTCTTTCTATAAAAAAATTGGTTTACACATATCCTTTTAACACAGCTTTATAAGCCCCACATTACAAGGGTTTCCATTTAATTTTCAGCCAATATTAAATTAGTATCACAAATAACTTTTATCATAGTTATAACTGTGAATTGTTGAATTTGTCTTTTATGTCTTAAAAAAGTCACCATACACAAAACATTACTAAATGATACTTAAAGATCTATTGGCTCTACATAATTTTACAGTTCTCTAAAAATATTACTAAAATATTTAAATATTCGAATACATAACACTCTTACCTCAGCTCTTTTCAGCATTTCCCACTTATTCAATATTTTCATGGCAAATACCTTATCTGCATTTTTTAGTTTTACTACAGCAACCTGGAAAAGATAAAGGAAATACCACTTTTAAAATATGACAAATATTTTTTTCAGTCATCCATTTTCCTTTTTCCTCTCTGTAAAAAAATAAATACCAATTATCAATTATTTCAATGCAGTTGAAATTCTAAGATCCTAAATTAAATAATGTTGTCAGGCGAAAAAGTTATATTAGTGAACATGTGCCAAACCAATAACTGTATTTCTAAACACTGTATCAGTTGGTAAATTATATGTTATATCCTCCTTTCCAAGTTTTCTGCCCTGGAATTTAAACTCAACATCTACTATAACTAAGAAATTCACCAAAACATACAACGCGAATGAACTAGAGCTTGTTAAATAATGCACGCCAAATTCCAACACGATGCTACAGAGAATGCCAGCTGCCAAAACAAATACGTTCTGTGGGGAGCAAACAATATGAAATAAACTAAAAATGATCCTGTTTTTCACACCACATACTCTTACACTCTATAAACCACAATCCCCATTCACACACACCCCAAATATAGATACACACATACCTAGAAAACAACTAAGCCTAACAGTTTTAAGACTTTACACATCCCTTCCAACAAAAAAGGAACATACATTTCTGTATTTTACATTTCACTTATGAATCAAAACTGTCAAATACAAATAAGTAAGACCTCATTCTCCCCTTTAACACACTGATTACATTTTTATTTCTATCTCTCTGCTTCAATTTGACTAGCTAATCTGTAAGGTCCCTTCCAGCTCACTGGATTTGCTACAGGCCTGAGGCTAACACGTACAAAAGAGAAAGACAAAGCTTCAGTGAAAACGTTTCCACTTAACTGAGAGGGGACAAGGAAGAGGGGACAAATACTACCCTCATATGCAGAAGCAGAGGATAAAGTATATACAGATCTTCAAACAGTTCAAAGGGATATTTCCAAGAATAGAGAACAGGTTTAAACTCAAGTGCCAAAATAAAAAATAATAATAATAATCTTAGTAGCAAATGTGCATATTAATGTAATTTAATGAATTTGGTGAACAGGTACAGTGGCTCACACCTGTAATCCCAGCACTCTGGGAGGCCAAAGAGGGAGAATTGATTTAGGCCAGGAGTTCAAGACCAACCTGGGCAACATAGCAAGCCTCTGTCTCTACAAAAAACAATTTTAAAAATTAGCCATGTGCAGTAGTGTGCACCGGTAGTCCTAGCTACTCGGGAGGCTGAGGCAGGAGGATCACTTGAGCCCAGGAGTTTGAAGCTGCAGTGAGCTATGATCATGCCACTGCATTCCAGCCTGGGGAACAGAGTGAGTTCCTGTCTCAAAAAAAAACTGGATCAGACTACAATAAAAGTAATATGACCATATAATTAAAATAAGTGTATAATACTGAACATTTCTTTGTAATCATCTTAAATAGTTATAATTGTGATTACAGTTTTTCATCAATTAAACGGTGAGACATAAGAGGAAGTTATCTCAATTTCAAATGCAACCACTTTAGTCTTTAATTATATCTGGTCATAGCTGGGGAAATGATTAGTCAGTTAAACTGTTCTTCCAATGGGCTCATACTTTAAGTAAGGGAGCTGTAATAAAGAGCAAGGAAAAACTCAAAACATTGTTTCACTAAGATCTCTGAAAGGAAAAAAACACAAGCTGAGCTACTCTGTAGACTCTGAAATCAAACTTTGCACAATTGGGAATGCACATGGACAGGACAGGAACACTAAACTAGACAAGCCCACACTTAGAACAAGGAAAAGACACAGAAGGCTATCACCTACGCCCTACCTTATTCTGATTTAGGGAAAAATGGCTGAAAGACTCCAAAACTTAGGTGCCCCCTAAGTGAGAAAAGTATTCCTAGCACTGTATGATTCACCAATTTTCTCTATGTAGGAGTATATAAGTATCTCATGACAGCTCCTAGTAATAGCAGTGGTAGTACCAACCAACACATTGAGTGTGCTCTAAATATCAGGCACTATGCTAAAAATTTTATACAAGCCGTATATAGTTTTATATAGGTTCCTTATCTGCAATTCTAAAAGACAAAAGGTTTTCATAAGTCATTTGGCAGCCTGTAGTGACATCAGGCTATTAACAATCTTTTTTTTAAATCTCAGTTTAAAAACAAACATGCCTCACTGCAGAAACACAAATGCATTTTGTGGGGTGCTGCTCCAAAACCCAATAGGGCTGTTATATAAAATAGAGCATATAATCACCTTTCCAAGATCCAAAAAATATATTGGAACCAAAACAACCTCTGGATTACATAACTGTGCAGTAGGAACAATGATGATGCCCATTACTTAATGAACACTCAAACACTTAGCTAGCATTTATTGTGGCTACTTAGTGGAATGGTGATAACATGGACTCTGAAGCCAGACTAATTTGAGTATGAATCCTGGTTTGTCATTAGCTGTATAATTCTTAGCAAAAACTTAACATTTCAATCCTTCAGTTTTCTCATCAATATAATGGAGTTAATAATAGTGCTTACCTTATATAATTGTGGTAAAGAATAAAATAATTAATACAAGTATAAAGTGCTTACAGCAGGGTCTGGTGCTTAGTAAGTATTTGATAAGTGTTAGCTATTATTCTGTGCCAGGCACTACACTAAGTACATTTCAGCCCCATCTCTTAACTGCTATTTGCTCTACTACTTCTGTGTGGCAGACAGTATAACTCTCAAGTTTTTAAATTTCTTTACCTACAAAAAAAGACACTTGCATCTCTTTAATTTCTAACTTTCTATAATTTTATACCAACGATACATACATTTACATAGAAATATAGATAGAAATACCCTCAATTAAATACAAATACATAAAAATAAAACTAAGCCACATGTTCACCATAGTGTGTTTTTTTTTTTTTTTTTTTTTTGAGACAGAGTCTCACTCTTTTGCCCAGGCTAGAGTGTCGTGCCTACCTCCCCAGCAACCTCAAACTCCTGGGCTCAAGTGATCCTCCTGCCTCAGCCTCCCGAGTAGCTGGGACGACAGGCATGCGCCACCATGCCTGGCTAATTTTTTCTGTATATTTTTTGTTGTCCGATTAATTTCTTTCTATTTTTAGTAGAGAC